GGTTTAGGGTTTAGGGTTTAGGGTTTAGGGTTTAGGGGGAACGGGCTCACCAAATATGACGATTTCGGAACACAACGCAAAACCGCTGAGGGTGGTCGTTTAAGCAGAAAAAGGCGGTGTTGGCGGACATCGCGACACAGGAAACACTGCGCCTGCACATGCTTCGCATACCTTGCCAGAAATAGCGCGGGCAAACCACCCCCCTACTAAGCCCTCAACCCTTGCTCTTCCCTAAACCCTAAAAACCCTAAACCCTAAACCCACAAAACCCACAAAACCCTAAACCCTAAAAACCTGGCCCTAAACCCTAAACCCCTAAACCCTGAAAAACCCGAAACCCTAATTCCTTAAAACCCCTAAACTCTAAAAGCCCTAAGCTCGAAACCCCTCAAAACCCCTGAGCCCTAAACCCCAAAAACCTGGCCCTAAACCCTAAAACGCTAAACCCTCATAAACCCTAAACCCTAAACCCTAAAAACCTCTAAACCCTAAAAGCCCTAAGCCCTACACTCTAAGAACCCCTGAGCCCTAAACCCAAAAAAACGCAACCCTAAAAAACCCTAAGCCCTAAACCTGAACAAAACCAAAACTTAAAAACCCTAAGCCCTTTGCACCGTAGTACGCGCCACTAGCAGAAATACCGTCGTGGCTACAAGAAACATGAAGACCCGAACGACCCCAGAAAAAGGAAGTTCTCAGCGGCCCGAAGAAGAAGAGCTGCGTGAGTGGGCTTGACAAGCGACGCATGTGCACGGGGGAGTGACTCCCACGAGTGCGCGGATGACAAACCCCCAAACCCCAAAACCCAAAAAACACTAATCCCTTCCCCCTAAAATAAGTACACCTTCCCCCTATAATAAATACACCCCTAATAATAAAGGCTATTTTACTTCGAACATCCCCACCCTCTCTTGGTAGAGATACTCTGGGTTGGGCCAGGGACACCGGGCACTCCGGGGACACTCTGGGGTTGGGCACTGTAGGTTGGGCACTCCAGGGCACTCCAAGGACACTCTAGAGTTGAGCACTCCAGGGACACTTTGGGGTTTGGCACTCCAGGGATGAGCGAGGAGTAGACCGGGCGGTTCCGGGCGAGGAGAAGAGTTCCGGGCGAGGGTGGGGAACAAAAAAAACCGGGCCCAAAATCCCGATCCCGTGCCTGTCCTTTTGAAAACCTCTACAGAGAGGGGGGGGTAGGGGGTGGGGGTCGGAAGCCTGACGCAGAAACTTGAACCTTTCCCAAAATTGAACCTTTAGGGCCTAAGGTTCAGGGTTCAGGGTTTAGGGTTTACGGATACCAAACCCTAAACACTGCTGGTTTTTCGGACAGACGATAAGAACCCCCCCTATTATACAAGGGAGGGGGGGTGGTGCCTTTGATACTAGGGGAAGGGATTCAAACCCTAAACCCGAAATCACCAAGCCCCCAACGGCTCTGAATCCCTAAACCCAAACTAAACCATTACCCTAAAGCCCTAAAGCCCTTAAGCCCTGAACCCTACATCGGGCTGCGAAAGGCTGGGGTTACGCGAATCCCCGCAGTGCGATCTCCAACGGCTTTCAAAAGTCTTTCGAGAGATGCTGTGCACATGGATCCAGGCATGGCCCGAGAACATAAACGTCAAGAGATGTTAACGCTCCAAGTCAACACCACAAGCATGAAGCCCTGTAGGACACATAAGTTACAACATCCATGTGTTCAAGCGCGCTATCTGACCTGTAAAAACCCATGGGGCGCGCTACGTGCATGGAGTTCCATTGGCCTACATCCGACGCTGAAAGTCGGGCTTTGGGTCGGACCATGACAAACACAAGTCGGAGGACCCAATGCCCATTCCTCACGCGAGTGCGCACTAAACATTGGGGTCGTTCACACTTCCATTATCCACCGCCTCCAAATTGCATAATTTTGTTTCGTAGTACTTCCTTGTTGCCACAACTATCGAGGTGCTTTTGTTGTCTGTCTGGAGCTGTCCCTGACAACTGCTTGCGGACACCACACTCGTCTTTCTCCATAGGCCACGAACTGCGCGCTATGGCATACTGGCTGCATCGTGCAAGAACATTCAGTACATGTCGATACTCTGCCCCATCGCCGAAGGATGCGCCCCATGGCCGAAGGATGCCGAAGGATTTGACCAGACCCCAGCAAGCCCCACACAACAGCCCGAAGACTTAGCGCCAATGATTTGCGCACACCGCGTGCCTTGATGTCTAGTCTGAAGTCGCCCATCAGCTTGGACATGTCTGGATACCTCCCAGGACATGTTCATCATGTTCCAAAGATGCCAGCAACTGAAGCTCACTGAAGTCAACGAATGCAAGGCACTCCGTGTTGTGCATGCGATCCAGTTTCGAGGGGTCCAGGTCTTCGCTGACTTTGAAGGTCAAGGAGACCTTCACTTGACCGATGCATCATATGCCTCATATGCATCAGACGTGCGAAACCATGTGCCCTGGCCTCTCGAAATCTTAGATTCTCCTGGAAGGGACAGAAAACGAAAACTCCAACCACAGACCGGCACCCACGTGCACTCGAGCCATGCAGACATGTGCACGATTCTATGAAGCGCTGTTTGCGTGTCCGTGGGGATGAAGCCATCGAGAAAAACGTTGATGCCTGAGCAGTTAGAGGTGCTTAACTTACAGTCCTTACAGTATTACACCACAGCTATTTCTAGGAGCCTTCGCGGACACTGAAGGGCATCGTAACGACTCCATAGGCGCCAGCAGATCCCCACCTGAACAATTTGCAAGCTCGCAAGCTCGCGCTCACCAAGCCAAGCAACAGTACACAACAGCGCACAAGCAAGCAAGGGTTGCAAACAGCAGATGAAGTCGGAAAGGTAGTCCAAAACAGCCAGATCGTGCCTGACAGTCACCGAAGCATACCCACAATCGAAAGAGGAGCCCTTGAACTCCAAGAGTAGGACTCGACAACAATGATGTAGTTGTCCGTCGTCTGCAGGCTTCGGATGACCTCCGAACAAGAGCAACCTCAACAAGGCAAGCTCATGCCCGAATGAGCCCGACAACCTGGAACGGTAGAAATGCCCCATGCTGCTCCCATGCTCCTGGAGATGCATCCACCTTCCTGCCTTCCTTCCTTCCTTCCTGTGTGCATTGAGGGCAATTCGGGGGGTGTTTCTAACGTTTGTGTGTGTGTGTGTGTGTGTGGGTGGGGGGGGGGGGGGGGGGGGGGAATGCTGTTCGACTCAGAGTCTACAGCAACCCAAATCCCACAAGTCATAATGTGTGCATTGCATGGAATATTCTGAGCAGCCTGAGCAGCAGCGATACGTTGCCTGACGTCCAGGTATGAAGATGGCCTTGGGCATATTCGGAGTGTTGTCCGCAACAACTTGCCTGCAACAACGTTATACATTCAGAGCTACTTTAAACCTGAAAAGACAGTGACAAGCGCGCATGCAAGTGGTTCCGCTAGCAACAACTGAGGAGCATGCTCGTCGAACATGTACACTTGCGCATCTTGCACGCATAGAACTGCCAGGACGGTTCTCTGTTTCTTGGGCGGAAGCGACAAGTCAGTGAGGTGCGAAGCTTGTGCATACTGCCTGCGATTGCAAATCGCTGAAGCTCTCCACCAGACAAGTCCTTGATCTCGCGTTCCTGCTTGCTGCAGAATACAGGACTACATAGTAGGCTTAGGAGGTACTCGTCGCAGTCAAACATGTGCGCACTCTGACTGTAGATGCCGGCAGCCAAACTTTGCAACACAAAACAACTACGAGTACAGTAACGACCCCTAACGATAAAGCGTCCCCGTTAGGTGAAGAAAGTTCCGTTAGAACCTAATTGAGCGACTGATGTTTGAAGATGGGATTTTGTAGACTCGGATTCTCTAGTGGGATGACGTGGGGAAACAACTTTCAAAATTAGCAGGCCTTCAAGTGTTGCATTAGAAAAAGCTGTGCGTTGTGCTACCCAACTTTGCAGTGAGCAAATTGTTTGTTACAAAAAGAAGGGACGTGAAGGCCGCAGTGCCGAAAGGGTGCTTCGAACCCACGCACCCACCACTGGCTACATTTCCCTCTCCCCCCGAGGGGAGTCTAGGACATCCACAGGGCGAGAAACCCCCCGCACGAAAGGGTTCAGATGTACGAGGTTTACAGGCCATGCCAACCACCCACAAACAAGAACAACAGTTTCCATGATGGCGACTTCGATGCGCCGCTAAAACTGATACAGCTGCACACGAGAAAGCAAAGCGAGGATTTCTTCCGAGTTTTGACGACGACCCGCCACTCACAGGAGACTGTTAAAACTTTGAGAATGCCAATAGCAAAAGTTACCGCCGACGACGACGACGATGCCGACAAAAACGGCGATGTGACGATCGCGACTTCTTATCTTATTGAGGTACGAGGGTGCAAAAATGACGACAGCTTCGAGGATCATGGCGACGATGACGACGATGTCATGACGCGCACACGTAAGGACATACGCATAGATACGTGGATGCAAGAACGAGCGATCCTGCCGGCATCCCCTCCCGGATCTAAAGGATTGCAAAGCTGGTTGCATGCTTGAGTCACGTCAGCCATGCAGTCATTGAAACATATTCGCAACATTTTCTGCACAACAACAACAACAACAACAACAACAACAACAACAACAACAACAACAACAACAACAACAACAACAACAACAACAACAACAACAACAACAACAACAACAACAACAACAACAACAACAACAACAACAACAGCAGTTTGCGCCTGCAAGTGCATGAGCTCGAGCTCTTGACAAAACTTCTCCTGGCAGAGAACGCACGTGCCAAGTGCCAAACAAAGCCGAACCAAGACACCCCCGACGCGACAGACCACAGGTTTGACTCAAGTGTGAATCTTTGTCCACACGGGACAACTCGACAGCATCCAGTAGGAGCCAGTAGCTTTGAGACTCTGTTTGCTGCGACAAGTTCCTACATCAGATGCATCAACGTCAACGATGAATGACAGTTAGAGATGTGAATGCTG